GGGAGGGGGTGGTGTTTGTGGGGTGTGTGTGTGGGTTGTGTGTTCATCCTTCATAAAAAGCTAATATTCCTCCTGATGAATCTCCTTGGTGTAATAGTGCTGCTTTTGGGTTGATGTATTTAAGTTCCCTTGTGCCTTCTCATTTCAGTTTTTGGACTTTTTGATAATCCATTCCTCTTCCATTTCTTTTCTAGAACGTGTTAAATCAGTTTCCTGAATCTTATTCCTGAAACTTTGTTCATCAACTACATTCTCCCCTGTTTGAAATTCTCCATAACCACTGCATTAGTAGGAATAACTATCACATTCTCACCTTGGACAAACTCCTTCTCACATCATTAATGATTGGTTTCTTTTGGAATTCTACCAAGTCATGGCCCTAGAAGCTGTGGGCCATTTGATGTTCTTGTAGAAAATCAGCATCCACCTCACTCTCAATTATCCTTTTGCAAATTGAACCCAACTGCCTCTGCCTCAGTGCCCTTCCTTTGACTTGTATATCTTCATCTTGTATATCTTCATTTACTTTCTCAACTTCATGCATCACTTCCACCAACTGAAAATTTTGATTCATAGTCTGAGTGTGCAGATCTTTCTGAAACTGTTAAGTCTGATACACATCAATTTGCTGTGTAGACCCTCCTCCCAACTCTGCCACATCAACGGTTTTCCCAGCTTGATTAGTCTTTTCCATGTCCTTAGAACCACGCGACTTTCTCAATTAAGGATAAATTATTAAACTGTTCTCTACACTACGACCAAACATTTGCATTCGCTGCAATAAAGTGGCTTTCATTCCACTACCACAGGCTGCCAATACCATTGTTTGTTGAGCCAATCCAAACCTCCTTAATTATGGATGTTGTAATGTCTCTTTCTGCTAAAAACCCTTGTAGGTGAAGGCTTAATAAATTTGAAAGTTGGTAGGTCCAACTTCATTGGTCTTCCAACAATATCACCCAAAGATAAAATCATTTGTTTCTTAAATAGGTATATTCTTAAGCCAGGGAATTTAATCCAAATGGGCAGTATAGTGGGTCAGTACTTGGGTTGAATGAATGTGTCCGCTTCAGAACTTTCAATGTAAAACAGTGCCTTGAGAAAATGCGAGCATAATCTTCATCCTTCCCTAGCTCAATCATAACATGCTTCCCATCTAAAAGGCTCACTTTCCAATTTCCCATCAACATGAAATCATGAAAATATTTTCTAATAGTATCCATTTTGGGGTGACCTTAAGTGAACTTCCTATCAATGTGAACCGAAGCGGCTCAGCTAATGCATTATTTTCAGCATCAGACAACATAACACCCACTTTCCCTTATGCTTTTGTATTTCAGTTTTTGGGCTTTTGGATAATCCATTCCTCTTCCATCTCTTTTCTAGACGCGTTAAATCAGTTTTCTGAATTTGATTCCTGAAACATTTTGCAGCATCTGTATTGTTCCCTGTTTGAAATTCTCCATGCCCACTGCATTAGTAGGATTAACCATCACATGTTCGCCTTTGACAAAGTTCTCCCTTGTCACATCTTTTGGAATTCTACCAGTTCATGACCCTAGAAGCTGTGGGCCATCTGATGTTCTTATAGAAAAAGAGGATCCACCTCACCCTCAATTATCCTTTGCAAGGCTGCACATTGACCAAGTTTCTAAACCCAATTGCCTTTGCCTCAGTGCCCTTCCTTTGAACTTGTATATCTTCTTTTACTTTCTCAGCTTCATGCAACACTTCCACCAACTAAAATCTTGATTCATGGGATGACCGTGCAGATCTTTCTGAAACTGTTTAGTCTGTTGCAAATTAATCTGCTGTGTAGACCCTCCTCCAAACTCAGCCACATCAACGATTTTCCGAGCTTGATTAGTCATTCCCACGTCCTTAGCACCACGTGACTTTCTCAATTCAGGATAGATTATGAAACAGTTCTCCACCCATTGACCAAACATTTGCATTTGCTATAATAAAGTGGCCTTCGCTCCACTACCACAGTCTGCATATACCATTGTTTGGTGAGCCAATCCAAATTTCCTCAATAATGGATGTAGTAATATCTCTTTCTACCAAAACTCTTGTAGGCGAAGGCTTAATAAATTTGAAAGTTGATAGGTCCGACTTCATTGATCTTCCAACAATATCATCCAAAGATAAAAACATTTATTTCTTAAATAGGTGTAATCTTAAGCTACGAAATTTGATTTAAATGGGCACCATAGGGGGTCAGTACTTGGGTTGAATGAATGTGTCCACTTCAGTTCTTTCATTGGGAGATTCTTAATGTAAAACAGGTTCCTTGACAAAATGTGAGCATAATCTTGTTCCTTCACTTGCTCAATCATAACTGCTTTCCATCTAAAAGATCCACTTTCCAATCTCCCATCAACTTGAAATCATCAAAATATTTTTTGATAGTATCTGTTTTGGGGTGACCTTAAGTGAACTTCCTATCAATGTGAACCGAAGTGGCTCAGCTAATGCATTATTTTTAGCTTCAGACAACATAAGGCCCACTTTCCCTTGTGCCTTTGTATTTCAGTTTTAGGACTTTTGGATAATCCAATCCTCTTCCTTCTCTTTTCTAGAACGTGTTAAATCAGTTTCTTGATGTGATTCGTGAAGCTTTGTTTAGCAAGTGCATTCATCCCTCTTGAAATTTTCCATAACCACTGCATTAGTAGGAATAAACATCACATTCTCAGCTTGGACAAACTCCTCCCTTTTCACATCATTAATGATTGGTTTCTTTTGGATATCTACCAAGTCATGATCCTAGAAGCTGTGGGTCATCTGATGTTCTTGTAGAAAATCAAGATCCACCTCACCCTCAATTATCCTTTCGCAAAACTGTACATTAACCACGTTTCTGAACCCAGCTCACTCTGCCTGAGTGCCCTTTATTTGAACTTGTGTATCTTCTTTTACTTTCTCTGCATCATGCATCACTTCCACCAACTGAAAACCTTCATTCATAGGATGAGTGTGCAGATCTTTCTAAAACTTTTCAGTTTACTGCACATTAATTTGCTTTGTAGAGCCTCCTCCAAACTCTGCCACATCAACAGTTTTCCGAGCTTGATTTGTCTTTCTCACGTCCTTAGCACCACGTGACTTTCTCAATTCAGGATAAATTATGAAACAATTCTCCACACTAGACCAAACATTCACATTTGCTACAATAAATTGGCTTTCGCTCCACTACCACAGGCTGCGATTACCATTGTTTGGTGAGCCAATCCAAACCTCCTCAGTAATGGATGTACTAATATCTCTTTCCACCAAAACCCTTGTAGGCGATGGCTTAATAAATTTGAAAGTTGGACGGTTCAACTTCATTGGTCTTCCAACAATATCACCCAAAGATAAAAACATTTGCTTCTTAAATAGGTGTAATCTTAAGCTAGGGAATTTTGATTTAAATGGGCACTATAGAGGGCCAGTACATGGGTTGAATGAATGTGTCCACTTCAGTAATTTCATTGGGACATCTCAATGTAAAACAGTTTCCTTGAGAAAATGCGAGCTTAATCTTCTTCCTTCCCTAACTCAATCGTAACATGCTTTCCATCTAAAAGGTCCACTTTCCAATCTCCCATGAGCTTGGGGTGACCTTAAGTGAACTTCCTATCAATGTGAACTGAAGTGGCTTAGCTAATGCACTATGTTCAGCATCAGACAACATAAGGGCCAGTTTGCCATTCTTCCTCCCCGCCTTTCTTAAGAAGCGATTCTCTCGCCATTCTTCAAATTTTTCATCGTAGCGAGAAATATCAGAATGCTGCTTTCAGAAATATTGGTAGAAGAGTTACCTAGTAGAATATCAGCAAATGATTGGTTCTCCATCACCAAACCAGCTAAAAATTACTGTAAGAGTTACCACACCCAGACTGGTATCCCAAGCAGACAGGAAGGAGACATTTGCGGGAAATTCTCATCCATCGTTCATGAAGGCCAGTTTAATCTACTTCAGTGTCATGAGCTCTTTGGAATTGTCTTGATTTGCTTAACTATTTTTTAATTATCATAAATGCTTGAGTGCCACGTAATTCTTTTTAAAAATAGGAGTAAGTTAGAAACATGAAAAATCTTAGTATTTTATATGCACGTAATTACTTTTTTGGGTACACAATTGTGCAGGTTAAGGATATACTATATCATTTATACAAGGCGGCTGTGGGAAATATGCAGAGACTTGTACCAAAGGAGATTAGGATACTTAAGTACCTTTTAATGATTGAATCCTCAGAAGAGCAACTCTTTGCACTAAAAGATGCATTTACGCCTGGAGCTGAACTGGAAGGGAAGGATGTAGACTGCTTGTACACGTATGATGCGATAGACTTCCTTGTTTCTATCATTTGTCATTTTCTAATTCTAGACATGCCCATAACATTGTTAAATCTGCGGACATGTCATTTGTCATTTTCTAAAACTTTTATCCGTTTTAGAATTCTAGGGCGGGACTTATGCTAACATGTGGAATATATTTACTTTTTACTTTTCATTTTTTTGCTTATCCTATACCATTCTAATAAGAATATAGAACTTATTGGGTTTTGTCTATTATGCAGGACACCTGAAAAGTTGCATACTTGGATCAGTACTGTTGTGGATGCATACCATTTCAGTAGAGAAGGAACTCTTATAAGGGAAGCTAGAGATCTAATGAACCCAAAGGTCATTCAGAAACTTGAGAATCTTAAGAAACTTGTGCAGGACCATTTCCTGTAGCTTTATTTGCAATGCCCTTAACAAAAGAAATCTTACAGTAGTTAGAGATCTTGATCCTACATGATTTGGGTTAATGCAAGAGGTGTAAGCCAGTAATGTACTATGAACAATGTTAATGTATATAATATATTATGGTTTGAATTTTGCATCTAGCCCATATAAGTTGTAATTGACTGTTATTTGAGCTCTCATTTATCCATCGTCATATGTTTAGGTTCAGCCCTGAGAAAATTGCATTTATTATGATTTATATGATCTGTTGTAATCAACAAGAACATGAGCACTCCTGAATGAATAACACACAATTAGTTTTCCATTTTATGGCTTGATTGGTTGGTGGCATCTGCAGAGTTGTTTTTTGAGTCATGATAACTGCTTCAAAGTTAGTGGAAATCATGATTTATGAAGGTTTCTTTTTTTAATTTTTTTAATTTTTTTAATTTTTTTTATTTTTTTGAGACGGTGAGCTTCGAACATGAGATATTTTGGTATGAGAGAAAATGTCTAATCACTGGCTCATCATCTCATCTGCTCCGAAGAGTATTTTCACTCGTGGTTCTTCGGCGCTAAAGTGCACCCTATTCTTATGACTATGGACTCGCTTATTGTTAACCTTTGAAATTGTGTAATTTTGGCCTGTTTGTGAGCATTCGCTCGAAAGAATCTAGAATTTGTATAATTTTTTTATCTGTTAGTATCTGCTATGAAAATAAAACTATTGTTTTATGTATGAGGCTCTATTCATCCAAAAGGTGTATGGGAGATTTTTTTCGTACCTTGTTAAACTAATTTACTTCATGTCATCAGAATTTCTTCTACAAGATTGAATAAACATGGGTGAAACTATAGAGAAATTTTGGTTATTTAAAGCACAAAATCAATGTTGGACAATTTTTAGGTCCCTTACAAATATAGAAGTACATTGCAGAGCTTAACAAGTGTTTGCTAAAAATATATTAGATAGATAGACAAAAATATTAAGGGCATATTTTGAATTTTTATTAGAAGTTGAATTCATCAGAAGTGGATTGTTTATTTCACTTTGATCTATTGAATCTTAGCAAGTAGCTTTAGCACTGAGTAATTTCACATGACAAGTTGCTTTTATACGAAGTTCTATAGTACTTGGGTGGTTAAGCTTAGTTGACACTCAAATAGGCACGTTAGAGTAGCTTTTTTGGACTTAAATTTTTCGGTAAATTTACTATAGCTTGGGCTATATTAATAGTTAGATCATTCTAATTGGACTTAGGCCAATTGGAACTTGATTTGGGTGATATTTTAGTCTTTTGATTTTCTTATAAAAAGTAGCTACAAATGATTTGATGGATTAAAATATTTATTCTGGTGAGCTGTCACATAGTCAATGAAATTGATTTGGCTATTTAGTATGCATTAGCATCATATAAGTAGGTCAAGAGTTAGTTATTGTAAAGTTCTGTTCAATAATCTGCTTTCTTTATCGTATTCCCTATAACATTTTATTTTTTTTTATTTATTTTTCAAATCAAAATGGATTACACTATTGAGTTCAATGCTGAATATTATCCTAACAAGTCCTCATGACTATCAAGAAACTCTAAAAGGTGAAAGTTAAGTGAAAATTAGTGAAATAAGAATGTTTTTTTTCTTTCAAAAGCCGCCTCCTTAAAAGTGCATAAGGAAGCATGCCAGACAAGCAAGGAGGCTATTGATTTTTAAGCTTTTGCTAAAAAAAACAACAAATAAAAAAAACCCCATGAATGAGCAAGTAACTTTCTCTAATTCTCATTTAGAACATTCTAATAAACAGTTGATGACTAAAAAAAAAGCTAAGAAAAAATAATTTGCCAAAGAAAAACTTTAAGCAAGATAATATTTTCTTATGAATAGTTAGTCTTTTTGTAATTTATTTTTTTATTAGCAAAGCTTTGAGATATTGTTAAAGATAAAACATAAATATGTATCTAGTTTTAGAAATTGAAAGTAGTTATATTTCACTAAAATTGTTCTTCATAAATAAGTTACAACATATTGTTGCTGCATCGTTTTTGGTCAGTAACAATTAAAGGGTTATTTGAATCTTGTGTGAGAATTTCTAACAAGTTTCTTGCTATTGATGACGAAAAAGTTTTTGCCCTTTTGAAGTAATATGGTTTTAGGGACAAGGCTATTATGATTCCTAATAATAAAAAAAAATGAATAATGTTGTTTTTAGATTATGAAAATAAAAAGTTTTAATTTTTATTCTTTTTGTTAATGCAACGAGTTTTGAGTCGATCTTCATTGTTATACTTGCACAATTATCACCGTTGAGCTATGTTCAAAGCAAAAGTTGTAGCTTGCATGAAGTTGCCTCTTGGTTGAAGTCATTACTTAAGTCACCACTTGTTACAAGTTTGGGTTATAGTTGCGAACTTGATTTTTGGGATTAAGCATTTTGGTTTTCTTTGTAATGTTGATGATAATACTACAAATATCTAGATTATATATATAGTCTCCTGCCAGGGCTGAGGACCCTTTGGAAGCTGAAGCTCAAGCTGCTTATTAGGCAGTGTTTATGGCCAAAAATTGTAGCTGGAACCAATTAATGGTTGAAACTGACTCAATGACTTTAATCAACATTCTTGATGGGAGAATATCTACCCCATGGTATATGATTAATTGGATCACTGGCATACAATCCTTGAGCAAGGAGATTAGGCTGTCCTTTTCTCATACATATAGGGAGGGTAACATACCTGCTAATTGGCTTGCTAAGGCTGGCTTCCATTCTCAGAGTCCCTTCATAGATACTTGTACCACTCCTTCTTTAGAATTACTGTTGAAAGGAGTTCTTGTTGGTCTACCTTTCATAAGAGTTCTTTCTCATTAACTGTTGGGAAGTGCCTTGTTTTTGCCTTCCTTTTTGTTTGCCTTCCTTTTTGTATCTCTTTTATTTAATGAAATAGGAGCCTAGTCTCCTTTTATAAAAAAAAATATCCTGACTAGGTTTATATAGGCTATGGAGTTCTCACGAGGAGTTTGAACTTGATTTGGGTAATATTTTAGCACGCTATTAGTCTCTTGATTTTCTTATATTTTGGACAAGTTGCTACAAATGATTTGATGGATTAAAACATTTATCTTTGTGAGCTGTCACATGGTCAGTTAGATTGATTTGGCTATTTAGTATTCAATAGTATCATATAAATAGGTCTTGAGTTAAGTTATTGTAAAGTTATGTTCAATAATTTGCTTTCTTTATCACATTCCCTATAACTCTTTGTTTATTTTATTTTTGTTTCAAATCAAGATGGATTACACTACTGAGTTCAATGCTGAATATTATCCTAACAAGTCCTCATCACTATCAAGAATCTCCGAAAGGTAAAAGTTAAGTGAAAATTAGTGAAATAAGAATGTATTTTTTTTCAAAAGCCGCCTCCATAAAAGTGCATAAGAAGCATGGCAGGCAAGCAGGAGGCTATTAATTTTTAAGCTTTTGCTAAGAAAATAACAATAAAAAAAATCCTATGAATGAGCAAGCAACTTTCTCTAATTCTCATTTAGAACATCCTAATAAACAATTGATGATTAAAGCAGCAGCTGCGAAAAAATAATTTGCCAAAGAAAAAATTTGAGCAAGATAATATCTTCTTATATTTAGTTAGTCTTTTTGTAATTTATTTTTTTTATTAGCAAAGCTTTGAGACATTGTTAAAGATAAAACATAAACATGTATCTAGTTTTAGAATAGGAAAGTAGTTATATTTCACTAAATTCGTACTTCATAAATAAGTTACAACACATTGTGGATGCTTTTCTTCAAAGAATTACTTATGAAGAATATTGTTACTTCTTTTTTTGTCAGTAACAATTCAAAAGTTTTTTGAATCTTGATTTTGCTTGTGAAAATTTCTATCAAGTTTCTTGCTATTGATGACGAAAAAGTTTTGGACCTTTTGAAGTAATATGGTTTTAGGGACATGGCTGTTATGATTCCTAATAATAATAAAAAAAATAAATAAAATTGTTTTTAGATTATGAAAGTAAAAAATTTCTAATTTTAATTCTTTTTGTTAATGCAATGAGTTTTGAGTCTATCTTCATTGTTATACTTGCACAATTATCACCGTTTAGCTATGTTAAAAGAAAAAGTTGTAGCTTGCTTGAAGTTGCCTCTTGTTTGAAGTCATTACTTAAGTCACCAATTGTTACAAGTTTGGGTTTTGCCAACTTGATTTTTAGGATTAAACTAGATATACGTACGTATATCTTGACTAGGTTTATGAAGGTTATGGAGATCTCACGAGGAGTTTGGAGCGGGTGTATGATCTTCGAGCTTTTAGGGCTTTGATTATGTGCTCGTTCTCGAGGGTGTTTCTCTAATAATGTAAGTAGTGAATACAATAAATTTCCATTCCCCCCTAACTTCAAAGAGCAGTTAGTAGATAGTTCGTCTACGGGTCATTTAAAGAAAGCTTCTCCGAAGAATCGTAAGCCTACTTTTTTTTATCATGAGGAGGACACTAATATTCAAATTTATTTTTTGAGATTTACTTTGGTGGGGAAGTTTTCTTTTGCTCACCTTAAAATGGATATTATAGGGCATATCTTTTCGGATTTGAAACTTCAAGGTTCTTTAAAAATTGGTTTGATTGATGGCTGTCATTTGAATATTAAGTTGTAAAGGGAATGTGATTATGCTGAAATCTTTTCTAGACAAGTTCTTTTAATTGAGAAATGTTGCATGAAACCTTGAAATGGACAGCTGAATTTAATCCAAAAGAGGAACTGCCTATTGTTCCTATGTGGATTAGATTCCCTGGTTTGAAACAACTTTTGTTCAATTTGAAAGTTCTTTATTCTTTGGGAACTATATGTGGAACCCATCTAAAAGTGGTTCATCTGACTTTCAGTTGTTTTAGGCCTTCTGTAGCTTAGAATCTTTGTTGGACGAGATGTAATAACTATGTTTAATGAAATGGTATGGATTGGAAATAATACCTTTGCGTATTGCCAAAATGTTGAAATGGAGTTCAGACCTCCTTATTGCAATAATTATAGGATGTTTGGCCATGTACAAGCAAAATGTTTCTTTACTCGTCCGGAGTTAAGAAACATTAATAAGAAAGGAGCTGTTAACAGTGATGATAAAGTAGATGGCAATATTCAAGATGTCAATGATAGTTCTGATTTGAATAAATCTGATGGTAATATTGATTATGGTATGGGAAATATCTTTCAGGGTATTCTTTCTATTAATGAAGGTGAAAAGAATTTGGGAGTGAAATCTAATGAAGCTTTACCTGTTTTTCCTAATAGTAATGAGGATCA